TATATATATGTCATATGTTATTCTGTATTTCGTATGACAATATAATAAAATAATGTTTAAATTAATTATAAATAATTTGTATTTTAAATTTGTAATTCAATTTGTAATTTAAAAATTAGCAAATTTATATAGATGAAAAATATTTCTTTACTTATTTTAATTTAAAATCATTTCGCGGTTTAGTTAACAGCGCCATCTTTCAAAAGAAAATTATAACTACTTTAAAGTTATGTTTTAATGTTTCGAGGTCAGTTCAGTGTACGTGAATTTCTTTATTTTATTTGAAAATTACATAATTTAAATAAATAATAATAAAAAAAATATAATAAAGGTTCGTATAATATTACTCTAATTTAATAAAAATTATTTTTTTTAATAATAAGCAAAATTAGATAATTCAAGAATGATTTTTTTCAAATATATAGAAAGAACATTTTCAAGATGTCTATCAATAAATTGAATAACTTTTGAAGATCAAGATATCATAAGACGAATTCGTTGCAAAAATCTGATATGAGTTTGATATAGAGTAAGTTCTATTTAAAATTTTTTTCAAATATGATTATTAGAAAATTACGTGATGTGATTTAACATGTTAAAAACGAAAAAGTAACTTCGAACGAATTTTTATACATGTAAATGGTAAGAGAAAAAAAGAATTCGATACATTATATATATATGCAATTATAAATCGTTATACATATTATGTATAAAAAATTATTTTATCAATGTTTTATATTATCGTATAATACGATAAGTTAAGAAAAAAAGTTTAAAAGTAATACATTTATATTTGTGAAATTATCTTATACATATTTTTCTTATCTCGTTATTCAAGACAAATGTTTCAGACAAATGTTCAAAATTTTTTTCGTTCTTTGTTGTTTCGTTTTTTTTTAAATTTTAATATTATAAATTATGTTTTAATGCATACAAAAATAATAGTGTTGAAAAATTAAAAAAAAATTAAATAATTTATTAACAAAATTGATCTAAATGCAAATTCGAATATTTATACAAACATAGTTGTGCAATTTTTCTTTGCAAATGAAGTATAGAAATACGGAAGCGTATCGATTACTGTTGAAATTTATAATTGAAATACAATATTCAGAAATGAATTAAGGGGATTCTTGAATTTTTGGAATATTTTTTTCACAAGATATAAAATGTATAATATTTTTTATTATTAATTAAGTGATTATTGCTATTTGAATCGTTTCGAATAGAAATATGCTGAATAGAATACGCTGATATTGTGATAAAAATGAAAGTAATATAAAGGAATATTATTTTTTTTCCAAAAGAAAAATGCTTATTTTAGCATAAAAATTAAAGTATCAAAATTTTGCAATTCGAATCATTGCATCGTCATAATAATCAAGGAATTTTTCTTTGTTCATTTGTAATTTTTTATAAAATATAATAGCTATAAATGATTTGATCTTAATAAATAAAATATTGTATTAAAGTGTTTATTGACTTTTTAAAATATGGAAAATACTTATATACAAATATTCAATGTTATTGAACGTTTTCAATTAATATGTACGACGTGTATGTAGTGAAATTATACATTTTATAATTTACTCGACAGATGTGAAAACAACATTGGAAAATCGTTTCATTTTTGTTAACTTGTCCATATATCACGAC